TTTTATATCTCCCAGGCTACACAGATGCATACATTATTGCACTGATGATAGAGCCTCAGAAATAGAAGGAATGTCTAGGTCTCAGATAACTAGCTGTCCTCAGATAATATAACTGTCAAAATATTATTTGGTACTAAAGAAAACCATTAGAGGTTTTATTAGTATTGGGGGGATGGAAAGCTGACAGCCTTGTAGTTACATTCCATTACTTCTTCCCTGGTTTCTCTTGTTGAAAGACTTGGCATGAGCTGTAAACACCTGCAAAGCCTCATTGCTCAGTCTACCCCCATTGGTTTCAATACTCATTGAAACAATCAATCACTGTGGAAGCTATTTTTTTACAAGGAAATTTGGAAGCAACAGTCTCCTAAGGAACCAGAAAGATACTTGTGGAACCAAAATTACAAGTGTGTCCAGATGGCAAATATTCAAAAGCCTATGAATAGCCTGGTGACACTTAAGCAACAAATGTGCATTTCCAGCTTTTTTGCAAAGTCAATTTTAGTTGATTATTTTATGCATGCAAGCTATGTAATTAGGAGAAAAAATTCCCTCTTCTACTTGCTGGTCAAAAGCAAAGGAAGTTATACTGTAGATAGTATAGTATAGTATAGTATAGTACTATAGACCAATATGCAAATGAAATATTAATACATTATGACAAGCATCTTCATAACTGGCTTCAAACAGCCAAACATTATCAGAACTATGCAACAGCTACTGTTCATTTCAGCAACTGCCAAAGGTGTTGCACAGACTGAAATGACTTTTGCAGGTAGGTTCACTTTCCGATTTCCCATTTGCACAGCCGTTACAAATTTCTAGTACAGTCTCGGAAATATGTAAGCAACCATGTCTTGAAGGTGTTTATCATGATCCGAAAAGGTTTGCAATAGCTCAATTCAAGAACCTGCTCTGAGTGCCAAGAATATGTATAATAGAGTGAGAGTGTTTCTGAGCATGCACAAAGTATATTTTAAGTCCTTATATAACCCTAGCCGCTACCATATCTGGAGAGCCAGCATGGTATAGCGGCTGAGCGTTGGATTACAACTCCAGAGACCAAGGTTTAAATCCCTGTTCAGCCATGGAAACTCACTGGGTAACCTTGGGCAAGTCATATTCTCTCAGCCTCAGAGGAAGGCAATGGCAGACTCCCTCTGAACAAATGTTGCCAAGAGATCCCTGCGATAGGTTTGCCTTAGGGTTGCCATAAGTTAGAAATGACCCGAAGGCACACAACTACTACACATATTTAAGATCAGGCATAAAACAGGCATAACAGGTATGATAAATGGGAGTTCCTAGATTTATTAGAGGGTTCTTTGAGTCCCCATTCCTTCTCTTGCTTGAGCTGGATGAGACTCTTTGAGAATACCTTTTATCTAAAGAACACTCCACCAACCAATGATTTGTCTTCCACTTCTTTCGCAACATACTGGGATGTTGCCAGTGATCCCCTGGCATAAAATTTTTGATTATTTCTGATCCAAAATGTGGATTCATAACTATTCCTCTCACTTTTGAATTGGTTATTTCTGTACAGTTATCTTGACATGATTAATACTTCTATTACAGTTCAAAAGTTCCATTGAACTTTGGAATAATTGTTATGGAAAAGCAGACCATATCTGTATAATGGCCACAGAGAGAGAGCAACAATCTGGATATATAACACATACCCATAGTGTTCAGTGCATAAAGAACATTTTTCTGAATCGGGTGTTTTCCAGTATGCCACAAAAGGCCTTAGATCTTTTCAACGATGTTTGGTGTCCTTTAACTTCTTTGGGCCCTTTTTTAAAAGTTCCTCATATTTCTGGATGCCTGATGTCTAAATCAGGGATAGGCAACCTTTCCCCTTTAAGGGCCGAGGGACTTCAGCTCCCAGAATCCCAGGGACTAATGGCCAACATGGGACTATTGGCCAACATGGCTGAGGCTTCTGGGAGCTGAAGTCCCTCGGCCCTTAAAGGGGAAAGGTTGCCTACCCCTAACTTAGATCTTCATATTGCAATATGTCTATTATACACATTGTGTATATGTATAATACATATTATACTTATGTGTAATGTATACACATGTGACTGATGTCTTTCAGTACAGTTCCTGGAGAGTCTAACACCAGGAACATCTAGTAAACAGTTCTGTGCAATCTGGAGCTCAGAAACCTAACTCATTTACTGACAGTAAACTGGAGCTGTCAGTTCTACCAGTTGCACTACGGGTGTTTCCAGAAGATAGATAGATAGATAGATAGATAGATAGATAGATAGATAGATAGATAGATAGATACAGAGAGAGGAATGATCCACCTGTACTTGTGATTGTTTAGACAAAGCCCAGATAATAACATCTGTCACTTGTAATTCTCTTGTGGTTTTCCCATTTCTTCCATATTTTTTTTACCACTTACATCAAAAATCAGTTATGGATGACAAAACAGAACAGCTGCATAATGTCTTTTAACTTCTAGGGTGCTTCTCTCTCCTTCCTGTTGCCAACTAGATACCACACCCTGATCGCTCTTCTTGGCTATGGACAGAATATGACAGCAGGAATGAACAAACTCTGAGATTTGTTCTGGAGAGATCATGTCACATGGAGTGGCACACTCAAACTACAAGTTCTAGAATTTCCTGTACAAGTATGCACCCTCTTTCCAGGGGAGGGCTTGGGTTGGCAGCCTGCTGTTCTGACACTTACTTGTTCTGTTCTAGTTCTAGCAAATTGCTTCTGACCAGTTCTAGCAAATCTCATAAGATACAGGCACCCCATATAGAGACAGGGAAATAATATCTCATGCGTGTTCTCACACATAATTTGGAAATGAACCTCAATCTTTTCTTCATGGCTACTTTGACACAGCCTAGGTATTTTGGTAGGAGTCTTGCAGGAAGCACAATATATCTCTGTAGAGTCCGCAACAAGGTCTTTGCAGCCTATAATGCCCCCTTCAATTCACAGAAACACAAAATTGCCTATTGAAAGCTCACTAGCAGTACATGAGCACAACGACCACACACATCCAAAAATTCAAAGATATAGCCGTGTTTGTCTGTAGAGAGATCATGTCACACTTTTGAGACTAAGAGGGGTTGCAGACTGCCAGAAATAGTGCAAATTGAGTCCACTTTTAGGGTTAGGGTTAGTGCTAGGAAATCATGGGAACTGTATTTTATTGTGGCACCAGAGCTCTCTGACAGAGAAGGCTCAATGTCTCAGAAAAAAACCAATTCCCATGATTCCCTAGCACTAACCCTAACCCTAAAAGTGGACTCAATTTGCACTATTTCTGGCAGTCTGCAACCCCCCTAACTGAAAGAAAGAAGTTAGCAGCAGATCTGAGGAAGCAGACTTTAGTCTGTGAAAGCTCATGCTGCTAACTTCTTTCTTTCAGTTAGTCTCAAAAGTGTGACAAGATCACTCTACATACACTCAAAAGGTATTCCCCGGCAACTGGTAGTGAGAGGCACACAGCCTCTGATGCTGGTGCTAACATTTGGACATCATGATAAGTAGTAATCTGATGCATGCTATAGGATGGCTACACAACTAATGAGTTATGTGGGTAATCAACCTGAACTGCAAAAGAATGCAGCACTTATGTCATTATGACATCAGCATCTGAACTTTATCAGGAGTGAGATTGAGCTGTCTGATACCACACCGTTTTAAAATTAGAACTCAGAATGGTTCATTCAGCATGTAAGTGACTGTAATGTCAAATGTACAACATGGCTTAAGTATCAATATGTGCACCCAGTGAGGGTAGTGGCCAATTCTGAAGTGCAAATACTCATCCTGATAGCTCCCATAGCCAACTCCCCTCCTCCAGAAAAGTCCAATTATGCAGGTAGTTGTGTTGATTAAAGAAACTAATTCTAACCATTAGTTAGATCTTTTGTAAACTTAATGGGTCTTAATTGTCTTTTCAAGATCAAGTCACTCCAAAACATTTTGCCATTTAATAGGGGTAGTTCACAATATATTGTAGCTCACAATATACTGAAAATCTGCTTTTGCCCCAAGCTACTGTGAGAAATGCAAGTAAACTCTACAGGAGCAATGAAGTATGAGGCGGGTAACAGGTGTCATTGTCCCTACTGCTCAAAATGTCCCAATGTTTCAGCCCTATGAAACCAGCATCTTTATAGCACAGCACTCACTTGCCTCTGTGATAAACATACACAGTATATTATGTTCTCACATCCTAGGCTGAGATTCATATGAAGTCTGGAGATTCATATAAAAGAGTGTTACTTAAATTTTCTGATGTGAGAGGGACCTGTAATTTCCTTTCCCAACATACAGACTAAAGTGGTAATGTTTTTGTGCCCACTGTCTACAATGGTTTCTTGCCCCCACTTTGAGAAGCATTATTTTACAACAATAGCATTTGGAAGGAGCCCTGGTGCTGCAGTGGTTAAATGCTGGTACTGCAGCCACAAGGTTGTGAGTTCAATCCCAGGGCTCCAAGGTTGACTCAGCCTTCCATCCTTTTGTCAGATGGTAAAATGAGTACCCAGCTTCTTGTGGGCAACTGGTTTACAGATTGTAAATTGCTTAGAGAGTCTTGCGTTCACTGATAATAATAATAATAATAATAATAATAATAATAATAATAATAATAATAATAAAATTTATTTATATCCCGCCCCTTTGAGGTCAATCAGGGCAGTGTAGAAGTGTAAATGCTATTGCTGTGGCATTCCTCCCGCCAAGGCTTTTTTTTTTACCTGCTCAGCATCATCTGCCCAGAGATCAAAACTGAATTCTTTTCCCTCAGATGCCCTGCAGTCTTGATCCCACATATCCAATTCCCCGACTAGTGTCCTGGACCCCCATCCCACCTCACCAAGACAGAAAACTAACCCTAACCCTAACCCACATATCCAATTCCCGGCCTAGTGCCCTGGACCCCCATCCCACCACACCTAGACAGAAAACTGGCATCCAGTTGCTCCCTTGCCACACCATCCTTACCTCCATCTGCATAGGTCTCGGTACCATAACCGTCCTGCAGCCCATTATTCCAGGTGCCTTCATACTTGGCTCCACTGCTGACGTTCTGCCTTATCCCGTACCTTCCCTTAAAACCGTGCGTCCACTCGCCTTTGTAAAGCCACCGTCCTTTGGTCTCGATCCCTAAGCCGTGCCTCTTGCCTTGGGACCAGTAGCCTTCGTAGGTGTTGCCACTGGGCCAGGTGTAGACACCCACCACTTCGAAGCCATAGTTCCAAGAGCCGGAGTATTCCCCTTGACCTTTAGGCCCCGTGCAGATGCCGTGCCCATGGGCTTTGCCCCCTTCCCAGCCCCCACAGTAGGCCCCTCCATCATCAAAGTCAAACCTTCCACCACTCATGGTGCCAACCAAGGGCCAGGGATGCCCACTCCTTTCTCTTTCCTCCTCCTTTCCTCTTCTTGCCCTCCTTCCCTATTTAGCTAGATCCTCTCTCCATGAGCTGAAGGATGGGAAGCAAAATGCCCAGCCGCATAGCCAACCCTGGCTTTGCCACCCTTTGGGACAGGGGCAGTGCCTTTGCAGGAGGCTTCAAGGAAGAGAGGAACCCAAGGGGGTGGGAAAGGGGCTGCTATGGGCAGGACAGATCTCCCCCACCACCACCACCAAGGAAAAGGAGAGCAACTCCAGGACACTGAGACCCCAGGGATCCTGCACCCAGCTCAGGAAACAAGGGAAGAAAACTCAGAAAAGTTGGCAGGTGGGAAAGAGGGGTGGGACTGGCAGGGGAAGGGCAGTTCCTTCTTTCTCTTCACTTGCCCATCCTTTTGGCTCCCTGCAAGTGCCCTGGGCCAGAAGGGATCCCTATATTGGGAGAATATAGAAAATAAAAGAAAGAATTATGAAGAAAGAGGGCAGGGTGGGTGGCTGGGGAGGTTCTTTCTCAAGGGCAAGGAGGCATCAGGAGGCATGATCCTTGGTGCCACTCCAAGGGACACTTTAAGATCTGCGCAAAATTAGTCCAAGAAGGGAACCTCTAAATCTCTCTCTCTCACACACACAAAATCTCTCTCCAGCCCTCTTTCTCCACTTTCTGCCCCCTTCTTCTTCTCCTCCCTCCCTCCC